CAGCCCTCTGGACAACAGTTTTGGTAATCCCGCACCTCCTCCTAACTTCCAAACTACGAATTCTCTGCATTATATTCACACCACACATTGCCCTCAGACATGACATCTCCACTGCCTCCAGCCTTCTCCTCGCTGCAACATTCATCACCCATGCTTCACACCCATATAAGAGCGTTGGTAAAACTATACTCTCATACATTCCCCTCTTTGCCTCCAAGGACAAAGTTCTTTGTCTCCACAGACTCCTAAGTGCACCACTCACTCTTTTCCCCTCATCAATTCTATGATTCACCTCATCTTTCATAGACCCATCCGCTGACACGTCCACTCCCAAATATCTGAATACAGTAGGGCCCCACTTATACGGCGGGTTAGGTTCCAGGCTACCGCCGTAAAGCGGAAATCGCCGTAAAGTGGAACACCCTTTTTTTCCACTTATAAATGCATACAAACACTAGATAACAAGTTTACACTAACATATATTAAGTTAGCAATAGAACCAGGCATCAAAAAACAATAAAAAGGTACAATACACACATAGTGCACTCATTACTTACCTTAAAATATTTATAGTCTTAATCTAGGGTGAGACAAGTAGTATTTATTGTAAGAAATCAAGTGTGGTATGTATTGTAATAGCCTCACCAGGCCACCCCACCCACACATACTATTCTATGATATTTAAGCATCCCAGAGCGATAAAATGTATATACAGTTCACTCATTACTTACCTTAAAATATTTGTAGTCTTAATGTAGGGTCAGGAGTAAGTAAATGAGATAAAACGAATAAATGAGAGAAAGAATGAGTACATGAGAGGGGGCAGGCGCAGTTATGTAAACAAACCAGGGGAAGGTAAGTTTTGTAAACAAACGAAATGTACACATCTGGTTTGTGTACAAGTTACATTGTGTACAGGTTGTCTCTACATTGATACGGTAGAATTAATAAAGAAGAACACTCCCATTCTCATGTAACATCATTTTGAGAAGAAATGAAGCTCTGAGTGAAGGCAATGGAAATAAGTCACACTGACTTTTTTGGGTTATCCTAGGTTCTCTACACGTATGTTGTTATGTATGATAATCTATGTAACTGTATTTGTGTATACCTGAATAAACTTACTTACATACATACGAAAGGAATAATTTTCTACAGTTACCCCCAGTAACACATTTACTCTTATGTTAGATTAGAGAAAATGTTATTCTTGCCGTCACTTGTACAAGTTATGTGGCTCCCACATCTTATATTTATGTTTATTTATTCTATTGTGGGGTGTATTTATCATCTTTTTATGTTATGTATCGTGTTTATTATATAATTTTGAAAAAAATATCATGGATGGATTAATGAAAATGTGTATTATTACCGTAATATACGACATTTAATGAGACTCGGTATTGTTATTATCACCACTTGTGCAAGTCGTCTGCTACGACATCTCACATTTGTTTATTTATTCTACTGTGGGGTGTATTTATCTTATTTATATGTTATGCATCGTGTTTATTATATAATTTTGAAAAAAATATCATGGATGGATTAATGAAAATGTGTATATTACCGTAATATACGACATTTAATGAGACTCAGTATTGTTATTATCACCACTTGTGCAAGTCGTCTGCTCACATCTCACATTTGTTTATTTATTCTACTGTGGGGTGTATTTATCTTATTTATATGTTATGCATCGTGTTTATTATATAATTTTGAAAAAAATATCATGGATGGATTAATGAAAATGTGTATATTAACGTAATATACGACATTTAAATGACTCGATGTATGTAAGTTTATTTAGGTACAGGTATACATAAGTATAATTATCAGAGTATATATAAAATATGAAATAACTTTTAAAAACATTTGAAATTTTGGAGTTTCCAGACAAAATGGAGAGACTTAGTGCTTACTGAGCTCATGGAGAATGTAAACAAACAGGGTGGGGCACGGTGACCGTATTAGAAAGTCAGGTGGGGGGAGCCGTATAGTGAGTTTTGGTCATAATTTGAAATGTCCGTATTAGCGGAACGCCGTAAAGCGGAACGCCGTAAAGCGGGGCCCTCCTGTACATTCACCTCCTCCATACTCTCTCCCTCCAATCTGATATTCAATCTTTCATCACCTAATCTTTTTGTTATCCTCATAACCTTACTCTTTCCTGTATTCACCTTTAATTTTCTTCTTTTGCACACCCTACCAAATTCATCCACCAATCTCTGCAACTTCTCTTCAGAATCTCCCAAGAGCACAGTGTCATCAGCAAAGAGCAGCTGTGACAACTCCCACTTTGTGTGTGATTCTTTATCTTTTAACTCCACACCTCTTGCCAAGACCCTCGCATTTACTTCTCTTACAACCCCATCTATAAATATATTAAACAACCACGGTGACATCACACATCCTTGTCTAAGGCCTACTTTTACTGGGAAAAAATTTCCCTCTTTCCTACATACTCTAACTTGAGCCTCACTATCCTCGTAAAAACTCTTCACTGTTTTCAGTAACCTACCTCCTACACCATACACTTGCAACATCTGCCACACTGCCCCCCTATCCACCCTGTCATATGCCTTTTCCAAATCCATAAATGCCACAAAGACCTCTTTAGCCTTATCTAAATACTGTTCACTTATATGTTTCACTGTAAACACCTGGTCCACACACCCCCTACCTTTCCTAAAGCCTCCTTGTTCATCTGCTATCCTATTCTCCGTCTTACTTTTAATTCTTTCAATAATAACTACCATACACTTTACCAGGTATACTCAGCAGACTTATCCCCCTATAATTTTTGCACTCTCTTTTATCCCCTTTGCCTTTATACAAAGGAACTATGCATGCTCTCTGCCAATCCCTAGGTACCTCACCCTCTTCCATACATTTATTAAATAATTGCACCAACCACTCCAAAACTACATCCCCACCTGCTTTTAACATTTCTATCTTTATCCCATCAATCCCGGCTGCCTTACCCCCTTTCATTTTACCTACTGCCTCACGAACTTCCCCCACACTCACTACTGGCTCTTCCTCACTCCTAATAACTCCTAATAACTTGCCCACTATAGGTGTCAGGCTTATTGGATGGTAATTTGAAGGAGTGGACTTATCCCCCGATTTGAATATAGGAATCACATTAGCCATCTTCCACAACTCTGGCACAACACCGGTAAGGATGGACACATTGAATACACTCGTTAATGGCTGACTAAGCTCCATCTTGCATTCCTTAAGTACCCTGGAAAACAGCTCACACACACACACACACACACACACACACACACACAAAAGCTTCACATTACTACTGTTCTATAATTTTTTAATACACTGGTCATCTCCCAATGAGGCAGGGTGACCCAAAAAAAAAGAAATACTTAAACCACCATTCACTCCATCACTATCTTGCTAGAGGTGTGCCAATACCACAGTTCTGATGCCCCTCCAAAATGCAAATATCCCCACCCCTCCCCTAGAGTACAGGCACTACTTCCCACCTCCAGAACTCAAGTCCTGGCACTGGTCATGTTCCTAGAACTGTTACAGTCTGTGGAAGTCCCTGAAACATAGCTCAATACACAGCGGTGTTTTACACTTGACACAAAGCACGTCCCTGTGCTTTGCTGGAGAGTCTTGTGTGTACACAAACATATATCTTCTGACCCCATTTCTTTTTGTCTGTAACAGTAAGTATTACTAAGAAGTGATCGCCAAACTTCAAATGATAAGGTATTTGCCAGTTACTGATGGTCTTGGTCTGGTACACATTGTATGCATTTAGCATTGCAATGTTACAAGAAGTTTTATGTACCACTTGCAACTTTTGCAGACAGTCAATTAACCCAATCTTCAAGTCCCTTTTGCCCACCAAATACATACTGACAGTGTAACCTACAACAGCAGCTGGTCTCACAATGGGTTCATTGGTTCATTTTGTGCTAGTGGATCAATGTCAACAGTGTCACATCACATTTGTCATGCCACCGAAATGTCATGATGTTAGGGAGATGAAAAACCTGCACCTCACTGGTACCAATACCTGCACTGAACCTGGGCATATGTTTGTGTTCCACACACTGTTCCACATGTCTGTCTTGTTCACACACAGGAAATAACTGAACAAGAAGCTTGTGTTCCAGTTGTGTATTATGAATACCCCTTACCAAAATATGGTTCCACCATTTTTCTCACATCACCTGAAAGGCCCAGCATTGCCTGTGGCCCACTACCCATGCCAATCGATGTACCATCATCCTCATTATCACACATTGGTGCTAGGTCCCATGAAGTACTATGTCCCCTTGAAACAGAAATGGGCACCCTACCAGACTGTGTGCAGCACTGTATACATATTGACACTTCACAAGCGAATAATTTTCACCATCAATGAACCGATCATCAATTGCTAGGAATTCAAAATCCACATCGCTACTCACCTCTGTGAAGTGAGAACATGAGTTTTCACTTACATATGATAAAAGTGATTAGGACAAAAACTCCAGACATGGATGCCTGTGGGTTATCAGGATTTTCAGAGCTATTTCCAGCACCCATGGTTATGAAATCCTCAATGATGGAGCTGTCACTGGGGGAATAATATATGTTGAATTCACCTGGGTGTGAGGCCTTTGTGTCCAATCACCATGAACAATGGTATACTCAGATGGAATTCCCATAATGCACTGTGGCTGCCCTGATTTATTCCAATTGGAGGACACTGACCATACAGACGCACTGTCTCATGGCTAGGTCGACCAGGCCTCTCCCATCAAATTTACAGCCGCTAGAATTTACAAGTAGATGAACTCAAGCGTTGCTGTCATCGATAACAGATCTAGACGAAACAGTGAAAGGGCTGATGAAACTAACACTCCTAAGCAGAATTGACCAGTTTTAAAATAGGTTTTAAATACATAGATGTGGAAATATTAAATTAACTGAAATATATAGTGACCTGTGACTTGTACTGTACTTGTAAATGTAAATATACTTACTCTTTTACTAATAGGTGGAGGAACTTTGGTGTTAGGTTCAGCATCAAGTTGAGAGAGTGAGAGTGGTGAAGGTGTGAGGAAGGCCACAGAACTATTTAAAGATGAATGCTCGCTCTCACACACAGGACTTGTTACTTCTAGAGGAAGGACCCCAAAGCTTGGTGTTAAGGGACTTAATGATAGGGGTCCACTCATTATACTTCGAATTCGAACAAGTTTCTTTTTTTTGGGCGCTTGAAGGACACCTTCCCCGGAATCTCCAACACCTCTGTCCGCTGAAGGTGTTATAGTCACAGTGACCGGTGTATTAAGAGAGGTTAACGGTACTGGGGAGCTTACATTACTCATATTTTGCACTGGCGTATTAACCGGTAATAAATTATTGGGAGTGTTTTGTAATGGCGTCACAGTCGGAGTCTGTTGAATAGTATCTTGACTGTTCACCAATACATTGTTTAGAGTATTTAAAATTCCCGAGTCTGAGATGACACTAACATTATTTGCTAAATTGGCACTATTTACTAGAGTGAGCACCGTACTGCCATGGCAATTAGAAAACGTCTCAAGTGAATCCAACCTGAACACCTTCGAGGGATCCGATTTGTCCCCCTGATCACAGAGCGCAACGAACGACTGCCATAAGAATGGGTTGAGCTTTAATGACCTCTTGAAAGCTTCTGCTGCTCTCAAGAGGCGTTCAGTTCTAGCACATATGAGCCCAAGAAGCTGCAGAGCAAAGCAAGCCAAATCTCCATATTCTGTTGCTAAATCATCAACTGTTTTTGGATGCAAAACACTTCCACCAGTTAGAACTGTTTCAGCCTCTTCCAACCTGTATATAAAAAAAAAATGTTGAGTAAGAAACCTTATATGAAATTATACTTCAAACATAATACATTATAATTTTCCATATTTAAAAACTAAAGCAGCAAAAATGACAATGAATAAAATATATGAGCTGCCATGAGAACCAATAAAGATGGCATCCTTGCAAAACACTTACTTTCCAAGGTCATAACAGCAGCGAGCCATGAGGAACCTGAGTTGTGGTGTGCGTGTACCATGTGCATGAAGCACCGAGTAGGCGCGACCTGGCTTTCCCGAGCGATAATATGATGTGGCCACCAGGTGTAATGCCTCATCAGAATCCACTAAAATATAAAGACATACTGAGAAAAACAAATATACAAGAGACAGAAAGATGGGATGAGATAAAAAAAAAAGATGGGAGAAGTGAAAGAAAAGGAGACAGGGAGGCAAGGAGAATGGACAAGGGGAGGGGGTAAAAATAATGAGATACAGAAAGGATAGACAAGACAGTGAAGAAGAGTAAGGTACAGGGAAAATAGGGAAAGAATAGAAGAAATGGGAAATAGGGAAAGAGGATCAGGAGAGAGAGGGGTAATAGGCAGGAGAGAATAAGGCAGAGGGAGACAAGAGTGGGATGAAGAATAGGTGAGAAGATGAGAAGGGGGGAGGGCGAGTAGACAAGGGGGATGGGGAGATAGGGAAAATAGGAAGAGGGACTGGAAGTATCAATGGCAGGTGAGGATGGAAAGGAGCATGAGAGCTGGGAGAGAGAAGAAAGAGAGGGAAGAGGGAGGAGAGGGAATAAGAGGGTGGGGGTGGTTTATTCATCAGGAAGAAATGCAATGTCTTCTGACATGGATCATAATTGGATGATGACCAGTCACAAGTCATGTATCTGTTGGTGTACCAGAGCTAGGTTTTACACCCAATTTAAAAAAAAAAAAAAAAGGATCACTAGTAGTAGTGTATCCTATATATACCCATATGGGTATCCTAAAGATGGGAGGGTAGAGGAGGGAGGAGGAGAGGGAAGGAAAGGAAGGAGTGTGATGAGGAAAGGGAAGAGAAGGTACAAAAAGACGTTGAGACGACAAATCAAATAGAAGGGAGAGGAAAAGGGAAAGAGGACAAGGGAGATACAAGAGAAGGGAGACAGAAAAAATGTAGTAGATAGTAAGAGGGAGATATAGAGGGAAAAGGGAGAATTATGAGGTGGAAAAAAAGAGATGGGAAGAATGAAGAGGAAAGGGAGAAAGGAAGAGGGAGACAAGATGGAAGGGAAAGATAGAGATGGAATGAGAGGGAAGGGGAAAAATGGTATAGGGAGAAGGTAAGGAGGAAGAAATGGGAAAGGAAGGGGGGAAGGGAGAGATGGAAAAGGAAGGGGGGAGGAAGAGATGGGAAAGGAAGGGGAAGGAAGAGATGGGAAAGGAAGGGGGAAGGAAGAGATGGGAAAGGAAGGGGGAAGGAAGAGATGGGAAAGGAAGGGGGAAAGAGATGGGAAATGAAGAGGGGAAAGAGATGGGAAATGAAGAGGGGAAAGAGATGGGAAAGGAAGAGGGGGGGAAAAGAGACACAGGAAGAGTGGCAAGGAAGAGAAGCAGGAGAGAGAAGGACAGCCAAAATAGTCAGGCCTCCAAAGAAGAGAGATTTGGGCCAATAAAAAAAATCAAAATCGTGTGTGCATGGTACTGTAGGAGCCAGAAAATATCATTTCTATAATATCACTGAACAATAAAGCAGTGACATACTATAAGAAAACAGGAATAGGTCACCGTTAAATTTTGTATCTCTAAGCACTATGCAGATTTTTACTCCTTTTCACACTTTTAAAACAAGATTTTTTTTTTTAAATTGCCAGCACTAAGAGCACAATCATTTTAGATTCTTAAGCAGTTAAAGGGTTAATAACCCCTTTGTTTTATCTTCTTAAATTCATGAACCTATAATGAAAGTACTATAATTAAATATATAAAGAATATGAAAACCTACAATTGAAATAAAACTCATGCATACCTTCAGCTAGGAGTCTTTCTGCTAGAAATGTTGCATCCACATATGCATAGTGGTTCAGGCAATGCCATATTGCAGCCTAAAAAAAAAAGCAATATTTACTTAGTGCAGTTGATAAGAGCATTGGAGCAGGCCTACTTAATCATTCTAGGCACAACTTACTACTGTTACTTGTAAATACTCAAGACTAAATACTGTACGCAAAACAGAATTAGAGTATAGTATATCATGTATATGTGACTGAAGTGTACCCATATAAAATGTGGATAAAAAGGACACAGTGGGCTAAGCATATCTAACCAAGACAGAGCTCTTAGCAATGGATTAAAGTTGGATTACATATGGATATATTTAGAGATAGGATATATGAAAGTAGTTTTTGACAATAGCTGTAAATAAGTAATGAACTCCTTGGGAAGGATTTTAAAAATAGGCCAGGACATACATGCACATGTGCACAAATAGTAGGTCTGCTGCAGTGCTCCTATATTCTTACACAAGTCAAAATAATTATAAAAGAATTAAAAGCAATTATTTTCATACATTTTTTAGGGAGGACAGGGGAGGGATCCTATTATGACTGCAACATGTCGAAATGTGATAGTACAGTATGTGATAATTATTATCATTATAATCAAGGGGGAGCACTAAACCCATAGGATTATGCAGCACCTGTGGGGGGGGGGGATGTGGAAGATATTCATGCTTAATTCAGGGAACTGGAGCACAGATCCATTTCCCCAGATCAAGAGCCCCTCACCAACATCAAGAAACCTTCCTTGAGGGGTGTGATAACTTAAGATATTAATACGTATACTGTAATTACTTAAAAGGATTTAAATTTTTCTAAACTATTTATTGGTACAGTATGTGCAATATCCAACAATGAAATATTCTTTATTCATATATGTAAGCAAACACTGTACACAACTACATTAATTAAACAACTATGCTCAGCCTAATCATTTTATACTGTGAAGGCATGTATGATAAGGTTTACTTAGATTAAAGGTCGAAGGCAGCAGAGTGCCCAAGCATTAACAACTATTAGCTAGCAGCTGCGAGAGGAGCACTTTATATACCAATATAAGTATTACCATCACATATTTTCAATTTGCTTATATGTAGTTATACATCATCAATAATCCAAGCTCCAGATGAGCTACTGCCCCACTGACAATTCAACATCACAAGCCCCACTACAAACTCCACTGCAGCTCACAGAGGAACCACCCGTCAGTGTTACTTAGCCACAAACCAACAATGCATCAGCCAAAGCAGCGGTCAGTGCTGAAGCCAACAACCCAGACAGCACCAGTCAAGAAACAACTAATGAACCCAGCTTAGAAACAACCTGTAAAGCTATGCTCATTTGATGATATTATCACCTACTATGACAGTATCTAAATGACCACAAATATGATCTATAAACTATCCACAAAGGTCTCCTCAGTGGGAGGATCAAATACACCTACTCCCCAAACTTCATGGTTGGTCTTGAGGAACTCCTCACAGCTATTGAATGGACCCACTGCAAAATATTGCTCTCATCCCAGGACCAGAACAACATGCGCCTACCCACTCCTGAACATGAACTCCTCAAGCAAATTGATTTTTTTTTTTTAAATATACCTTACTGAAGGAGGGGTGTTAATGTTGCAGTTTAAAAACTGTAGTGTAAAGCACCCTTCTGGCAAGACTGTGATGGAGCGAATGATGGTGAAAGTTTTTCTTTTTCAGGCCACCCTGCCTTGGTGGGAATCGGCCAGTGTGTCAAAATAAAATAAAATATACATTACTTCCAACCAAGAGTGATAGGCCACTTATCTTTTTTCATCTTCTAATTATTCATGCCCTATTTTCCACTCTTTCACCCTCACCTCTTTCCACCCTTCTTGTTCTTCCATCCTCTCCCTTCATCATACTTTTATTGCCTAACTAAATACACAATATCCTGTAAAACTAGTACCACTTCTACTACAAACATCATGCTTCTACTTTATGCCTAATATGTGTCAAACAGCATTTCTTCAATATGTATTTGCAAACTATTTTGCAATTCCTCTATGAAGCATACGTTTTTCTCAATTTCATTTACATAATCTCCCAGTAATAAATTTTTTTAATAATATCTAGATCTATCAAATATTTTTTTTAATATTTTATCACACAACACTATTTCCATTGCATGGTATTTTTTACAATAAATTCCATCATCAATCACCTCAATTTTTCAAATTACCCTATGGAGACCTAGTCTCCATGTTTATTTTACTACATATACAATTATCAAACTGACAATGAAACCTTAGTCAATAGGTTACAGTATTCCTCGCTAAGCATTTTAATCGCTTCCCTTTGGTAACTTCTTCAAATACTTTTACAACATTTGTAAACTAAACAGGCCTTTAATTTAAAAAGTCTTCCCTCTCACTTTTTTTTTTTTTTTTTTTGTAATCACTGGCACAAGGACCCAATGGAAATAAGTCACTGACTTTTTTGGAATACCCTATGTAATTCACATATATGCTGCTATGTATGATAATTTAAGTAGCTATTTATGTGTACCTATACCTGAATAAACTTTCCAATAATTTTAGTTACTTAGCTGTTTTAAGTTTTAAGGTTTAAATAATAAGATATTACAAGGACGCAAATGAAAATAAGTCACTAACTTTTTGGGTTATCCTAGGTAATTTACGCCGTTATAATCATAACTAAGTGCTAAACCCATCAGGGTCATACAGCAGGTAATTTACACTATGCATGATAATTGTATTTGTGTACCCGTGCCTAAACAAACACATTTACTAGTTACCTACATGTCCACTATGTTTGAAATCTGTTTAAAATGTAAAATATTTTCTATTGTAAACACATACAAACTTAAGTGACACTTCCATTGGGTACCTTACGGCTTATCTTTTATTTAGTTACATAGGTCTTGTTCTATACGTATCCCTTAGTTTCTTATTTAAAAAAAAAAAAACCTCGGTAATACCAAACAAAAAATTTACGTTTGACAAACTTGTCAGTATAAATTAATATTTAACACAGGATAATCTAATATCGTCAGATTCATTATTTTCATCGGGGTATAATATTCAATCTAAAGTAAAAACTAAAATAATGCAATATCTATGCAACTGTCAACATCTTTAATTGCAATTTATGCAACGTCACACCCAATTGCTATTTCATCTTTCTATCACTCTTTTGACAACCTAAACCCATTTTGGGTTGCATTTTTGAGAGTGTGAAGGTGTGGGCATGGGTAGGGTGGAGGGGCTCCTAGAGTAATAAAATAATATAATAATGTCCCCCATTGCCTCCCCATTATCGAGGTCAGAGCTCCGCACCATTTCCTCCTGGCCATATATGTTGCCTCTTTGCTCTCTCCACCTCACCTGAACTGGCTCCTGCACCAGCATACTGCCAGCGTAGGGGCGCGAGGGTGTCGTGGGTGGGAGAAGAGTGTTGCCCGAGGGGCGTGTGAGGTGCTACACCGCCATTATCACTGAGGAAGGCTGAGACAGGTCACTCTGGCACAGTCACTGGCAAGCCATCTTGAAAACTTTGAACTCTGGTTCTCTGGTTCTTCTTAATCATTAAACCCATAACAAACCTAAACTATCTCTTTATATTTAAATACTGATTCGTTCTTGTGTTATTTTTCGAGTTTGTAAATAAATTTTGGTTTAGAATTTATTATTGGGAGTATTATAGATAGGAACTATAATGTGTGTTGTGTGGTCACAGCTGTTGTGGTGGGCACGTTGGGGCTCGCTTCTCTCTTTTCTCTCCTCTCACCACTCCCATTTTGGCCCCCTTATGTAAAAATGCCTCCCAAAAATGGCCAGAAGGGAGGAGCGACCCAGTCTAAAAAGACGGAACAGAAGAAAAAGGAGAAAATCATCGAGGTAGGCGAGTGTGAGAGTTGCTTCATCTTTCAACATCTGTCCTCATAATTTTTGACAGCTATAAATCTGTTTGACACCACGATTATTGACGCCGGAATTCAGTGTCTTATATCTTCCTTGTGATTTTTAAGTCTAATTTGAAGATTCGGTCCTTTCACGAAATCAGGTATTCTCCTTTAAACAGCAAACATGCTATTCTAACCCGGCACAAATTGTTGCAGTGTTAAATAAGTTTATTTAGGCACAGGTACACACAAATATATTTATCATATATAGTGTATAAATTACCTAGGTTAATCCCCCCCCCCCAAAAAAAAATCAGACTAACTTATTACCATTGGGGTACACAATAGTACAGTTGTAATACATGGTGTAATTTACACTATCATAGTAAGTTTATTCAGATACAGGTACACATAAATACAGTTACATAGATTATCATACATAGCAGCATATGTATATATTACCTAAGATAACCCAAAAAAGTCAGTGATTTGTATTAATGTTGGTAGAATTACCGACAGTGTGTTAGGTAAAAGGACACAGGTGCAACTAATGTGACATTTTATTGTGGCAATGTTTCGCTTGATAAAACTCACAGAGAGCAAAACATTGCCATAGTAAAATGTCACATTAATTGTACTTGTGTCCATTTAGTTAACAAAGTGACTGATCACTAAAGCTCTCACTTCACATGTCGAGGGTCTGCGTTCGATTCCCAGAGTGGGTAGAAACATTGGGCATGTTTCTTTACGTCGGTTGTCTATGTTCACCCATCAGTAAAATGGGTACCTGGGTGTTAGTCGACTGGTGTGGGTCGCATCCTGGGACAAGGACCACCGTGTCTTCCTTTGCAGATGACACCCAAATCTGCATGACAGTGTCTTCCATTGCAGACACTGCAAGGCTCCAGGCGGACATCAACCAAATCTTTCAGTGGGCTGCAGAAAACAATATGAAGTTCAACGATGAGAAATTTCAATTACTCAGATATGGTAAACACGAGGAAATTAAATCTTCATCAGAGTACAAAACAAATTCTGGCCACAAAATAGAGCAAAACACCAACGTCAAAGACCTGGGAGTGATTATGTCGGAGGATCTCACCTTCAAGGACCATAACATTGTATCAATCGCATCTGCTAGAAAAATGACAGGATGGATAATGAGAACCTTCAAAACTAGGGATGCCAAGCCCATGATGACACTCTTCAGGTCACTTGTTCTATCTAGGCTGGAATATTGCTGCACACTTAACAGCACCTTTCAAGGCAGGTGAAATTGCTGACCTAGAAAATGTACAGAGAACCTTCACGGCGTGCATAACGGAGATAAAACACCTCAATTACTGGGAGTGCTTGAGGTTCCTAAACCTGTATTCCCTGGAACGCAGGCGGGAGAGATACATGATTATATACACCTGGAAAATCCTAGAGGGACTAGTACCGAACTTGCACACGAAAATCACTCACTACGAAAGCAAAAGACTTGGCAGACGATGCAACATCCCCCCAATGAAAAGCAGGGGTGTCACTAGCACGTTAAGATACCATACAATAAGTGTCAGGGGCCCGAGACTGTTCAACTGCCTCCCAGCATACATAAGGGGGATTACCAACAGACCGCTGGCAGTCTTCAAGCTGGCACTGGACAAGCACCTAAAGTCGGTTCCTGATCAGCCGGGCTGTGGCTCGTACGTTGGTTTGCGTGCAGCCAGCTGCAACAGCCTGGTTGATCAGGCTCTGATCCACCAGGAGGCCTGGTCACAGACCGGGCCGCGGGGGCGTTGACCCCCGGAACTCTCTCCAGGTAAACTCCAGGTAATTTGCCTGAAATGCTCTACGTAACAAAGGGCTTTCTATATAGTAGTATGTCATTGATGCCAGCTAGACCTGTATACCTTGTACATGTAATAAATATTGATATTATTATTATTGGATTTGCATATAAGCCAGGTTTCAATATTTTTGTTACTATACAACAGATTTGTTGGGCATCTGATATACATGTCAGTTGGGATAAAGTTAAAGGTATTAGAATTGTCTTTTACACTTAATAAACAAGACAAATAGATGAACATTAGATTAAAACATCTCATTGGTCAAAAGAGAGGCATATATAGGCATACCAAAAGAGAGGATGGGCAGTTAAGAAATCAATATATTCAATTAAAGAGAGAAATAAAAAGAGGAATAAGAAAAGCCAAAAGGGATTATGAGGCTAAGGTTGCAAGGGATTGAAAGACTAACCCAAAAGGGTTCTTTCAGGTATACAGAAGTAAGATTAGGGACAAGATAGGCCCACTTAAGAGTAACTCAGGTCAGATCACTGACAGTGATCAGGATATGTGTGAAATTTTCAGTACTTAAGAACATAACATAACAACAACATAACAAAGGAGGAACACTGCAGCAGGTCTGTTGGCCCATACTAGGCAGGTCCTTCACAGTCCATCCCACTAACAGAATATTTGCCTAACTCAATTTTGAAGTCTACCCAAGCAATAAGCTTGACAATTCTATTAACTCATGTGGAAGTCCCACTCAAATCCAACCCCTCTTACTCATTATTTATTTATTTTTTATTATCACACTGGCCGATTCCCACCAAGGCAGGGTGGCCCGAAAAAGAAAAACTTTCACCATCATTCACTCCATCACTCTTGCCAGAAGGGTGCTTTACACTGCAGTTTTTAAACTGCAACATTAACACCCCTCCTTCAGAGTGCAGGCACTGTACTTCCCATCTCCAGGACTCAAGTCCGGCCTGCCGGTTTCCCTGAACCCCTTCATAAATGTTACTTTGCTCACACTCCAACAGCACGTCAAGTATTAAAAACCATTTGTCTCCATTCACTCCTATCAAACACGCTCACGCATGCCTGCTGGAAGTCCAAGCCCCTCGTACACAAAACCTCCTGTACCCCCTCCCTCCAACCTTTCCTAGGCTGACCCCTACCCCGCCTTCCTTCCACTACAGACTGATACACTCTTGATGTCACTGTTTCGCTCCATTCTCTCTACATGTCCGAACCACCTCAACAACCCTTCCTCAGCCCTCTGGACAACAGTTTTGGTAATCCTGCACCTCCTCCTAACTTCCAAACTACGAATTCTCTGCATTATATTCACACCACACATTGCCCTCAGACATGACATCTCCACTGCCTCCAGCCTTCTCCTCGCTGCAACATTCATCACCCATGCTTCACACCCATATAAGAGCGTTGGTAAAACTATACTCTCACACATTCCCCTCTTTGCCTCCAAGGACAAAGTTCTTTGTCTCCACAGACTCCTAAGTGCACCACTCACCCTTTTCCCCTCATCAGTTCTATGATTCACCTCATCTTTCATAGACCCATCCGCTGACACGTCCACTCCCAAATATCTGAATACATTCACCTCCTCCATACTCTCTCCCTCCAATCTGATATCCAATCTTTCATCACCTAATCTTTTTGTTATCCTCATAACCTTACTCTTTCCTGTATTCACTTTTAATTTTCTTCTTTTGCCCACCCTACCAAATTCATCCACCAATCTCTGCAACTTCTCTTCAGAATCTCCCAAGAGCACAGTGTCATCAGCAAAGAGCAACTGTGACAACTCCCACTTTATGTGTGATTCTTTATCTTTTAACTCCACGCCTCTTGCCAAGACCCTCGCATTTACTTCTCTTACAACCCCATCTATAAATATATTAAACAACCACGGTGACATCACACATCCTTGTCTAAGGCCTACTTTTACTGGGAAATAATTTCCCTCTCTCCTACATACTATAACTTGAGCCTCACTATCCTCGTAAAAACTCTTCACTGCTTTCAGTAACCTACCTCCTACACCATACACCTGCAACATCTGCCACATTGCCCCCCTATCCACCCTGTCATAGGCCTTTTCCAAATCCATAAATGCCACAAAGACCTCTTTAGCCTTATCTAAATACTGTTCACTTATATGTTTCACTGTAAACACCTGGTCCACACATCCCCTACCTTTCCTAAAGCCTCCTTGTTCATCTGCTATCCTATTCTCCGTCTTACTCTTAATTCTTTCAATAATAACTCTACCATACACTTTACCAGGTATACTCAACAGACTTATCCCCCTATAATTTTTGTACTCTTTTGTCCCCTTTGCCTTTATATAAAGGAACTATGCATGCTCTCTGCCAATCCCTAGGTACCTTACCCTCTTCCATACATTTATTAAATAATTGCACCAACCACTCCAAAACTATATCCCCACCTCCTTTTAACATTTCTATCTTTATCCCATCAATCGCGGCTGCCTTACCCCCTTTCATTTTACCTACTGCCTCACAAACTTCCCCCACACTCACAACTGGCTCTTCCTCACTCCTACAAGATGTTATTCCTCCTTTTCCTATACACGAAATCATAGCTTCCCTATCTTCATCAACATTTAACAATTCCTCAAAATATTCCCTCCATCTTCCCAATACCTCTAACTCTCCATTTAATAACTCTCCTCTCCTATTTTTAACTGACAAATCCTCTTACTCATGTATTTATCTAACCTAAATTTAAAACTACCCAAGGTTTTAGCCTCAACAACCATACTAGGCAGACTGTTCCACTCATCAACTACCATATATGCAAACCAGTACTTTCCAACATCATTTCTAAATCAAAACTTGTCTAATTTGAATCTATTATTGCAGGTTCTCTCTTGGAGAGATATCCTCAAGACCTTATTTATATCCCCTTTATTAATACCCATCTTCCACTTATTCACCTCGATCATGTCTCCTCTCATTTTTCATCTTACAAATGAATGTAATTTAAGGGACTTCAGTCTTTCTTCATAAGGAAGATTTCTAATGCAATGAATTAATTTTGTCATTCGTCGCAGAATGTTTTCTAACAAATTCCTATCCATTCTGCAAAATGGAGACCAGAACCGAGCTGCACAATCCAGGTGAGGCCCTACTAATGACGTACAAAGCTGTAGGATAACCACTGGACTTCTGTT